CCACCCCAGCTTACCAACGCTGAAGCGTGTATACAAAATCGCTCCACGAGCATCTCTAGAAACGCCCCAATCTGCACGAAGGATCGGCTCTCGCGTGCGGTCCGCGCTCCCTTAAGCTCTTTGAAGGGAGAGAATCGTGAGCGAAACGAATGTTCTACACGACCGCTTTGTCCAAAAGCAAATTGTGTTGAGTGACTAGGTCTAAGGTATGAAAATCGCAAATCCTGGTTGCCAAATCTCCTATGTGACTCGGATCAGAGTTCTTGTGCAAGGACTTTCGGACAATTGAAATCGCACAAATTCGTCCGGACCTGCTCTCCTTCTTGGCAGGTGAGGATTCATCTGTTCCAAAGTCCGCTCCTCTCACACACGCACACAATTTCTCGGCTTGACTATATACTACTCACTTCCCCGAGTGTGAGTCGACTGGCTAGCCAAAAGTCCGAACTTTTTTGGTTCTCGCTAAAATAGTCTTCCCAAGAAGATTAACGTCCAAGAACTCAGGGAGTGAGACTACCCAAGCCAGCAAACCCCATCTACTACTGCCGTAGCTGCAGGCGCTAGCTCGCTGCTGTCGCTGGGCCTGGACATCACAAATGGCTCTACATGGGGAATGAGGCACATTGCAATGTGTTTGTGTGTTTGTGTGTCTTTGTGTGTGTGTTTGTGTGTGTTTGTGTGTCTGTGTCTGTGCCTCTCTGTGTGTGTCATTTCTCCTCGGGCGAACCCTACGACAGATCACAGCAAACTTTAAACTCATTGATTTCATGATTAAACAAAACATCAGATTGAACAGAACCTTGCTCATGCCAAGGCCTTGTCGTAAGGCCAAACAAAGCTGATTGAGCTGAATCACATGAGGTTTGTCAAAATGGTCGACCCCTTTCTGCTGGGTGGCTAAAGGGACCAAACGAAGCAGCCCATAAATCCGCCCCTTTCTGAGCAACCTCCCCCAATTATTCTACCCATGCGATCACGCCAAACTCGGAGCGGTTCGATCTACATTCGCCTAGTAGAAGGCTATGTAAGTCCAGGAGTCCATGACATTCTATATTACCGTGCGGCCAGCTGATAGAACTGCACGGACTTTGGTTCAACTTAGAGATCTCCGTGCGGCCAGCTGATAGAACTGCAGGGAGTTTGGTTCAACCTAGAGATCATGTCTCCCGAGGTACACACATAGTTCAACTGATCGAATGAGCGCGATGCCTTCAAAAGCCAGGCACCCAAGATGTGTGATGTGCCATAGGCTTGGCTTGGTTTCTCGGATGCGGGCAACTGAGGGTCTAAAATCGGCTCAGTCAAAGCACAGAGGCCTAAGCAAAGCAAAGGCGTCCTGAAGCAGGGATCCGGGTGCATTACACACCTGAACATTGCCTGGTCAATGGTGGGTTCTCTTTATTTTGGTGGAAAAAGCCATGATTCAAATGGGCAAAATGTATCTTTTAAGGAGCCCTGTGAAGGCTTGCCTATGGTCCCATGGACGGGTCACAAGGGATGAACCACGCTGAAGGTGGCCGATGGGGAAAGGCTGGCTGGCTCATGGCGGCAAATGAGGAATGTGTCTTTCCTCAGAAAAAGGCTTTACGTTTCCGGAGGCAGGAATGCGGTAGCTCTTAGGAAGGATGCACATTGATCCTCATGCATTCTTGGGCTAGCTCCGGGAAGCGCCGCAGTTTCTGACGGACGTACCCCTGCTATTGAAATTGAACATTGCAAACACAGGGTGCTTTCCAAACTACGCATGGTAGACATGAAAGAAATGTGACTTGTCCCCCCCGCCCAGGTAACAATTTGTGGGCAACCCTGGATGGGGTTATATATATATATATATTTACTGCCCCCCAACGTTGCGAATTAGTCCTCACCACACAGCGAGGCATGAAGGCATTGCTTTGTATCTGACAAAATATATATTGTGCTCCTCACATTGTCAGACCGAGCAAACACCAGCCGCCAACGATATGCTGCACGGGCACGTGCAATCCCAATGTATCAATCAAACAGAATAGCTTCTAAGACCCTGCTACCCCGTTTTGCCGGAGGACTGCAAGGGCGTCAAGCTTCTTTGGTGCTTCTTTGCAGAGCCAATGTGCATGTGAGTATCATTTTTGAGGGGCCTCGCTTTCCAACAAAGACAGAGGAGAAGCAGCCGCTTCAGGCATTAGGGCCTTCGCAAATTGAATAGTTCGTCTGCAAGCCCTGCCTGCGGCGTGAGATGGCTGTTCTTTCTGACCTGCCGTCTACAGGCTGGGTCCACTTGTCTTCGTCATCAAAACCAACACAGCCTTGAGGGTACGGGACAGCTTCTTGCTGGTGTCTGCCCCAAGTCATTAACAGTAAGCAACTCCAGGTCTTGTCCAACTGAAAAGCAACAGGACCGCAAATGAGAACTTTGCTCGGCGGAGGTCGGGCAGAACATCGTCCAATGTTTGAATCAGGTGATGCTTGAATCAGGGCTCATGGAAAAAATGAGCTAACAAACGAAATGAGCTGGGGCTGGGGCTACTTGTTTGTGGCAAGTGGTTGTCTGGTCCAACAACTGGCCCTGCACTGAGCTACAGCACGGATCCATCCGTTCGCACAGCCCGTTCACCTTTCTATTCACCCCGCAAAGATGGCAGGATTCCAAGATGTTCCAACACACGTGGTGGCAGAGCCTGTCTTTCTTCAAGAAATTGCATGCCGCTCAGTGCATAGCTAATTCAAAAGAAAGCTGGCACACTGAATCAACTGATCTAAAACGGCAGCTCTGTCTGATCCTGACTCTCTCCAACGCAGCCTACAAAGCTCTCCGATTTCGACCTACGAGATTTGCAACACGCTTGCGGCGTCGTCAATGTTCATATCAGGATAGCTAGCTACACCAGCAAACCTAGTAGTGGTTCAACCCTCAAAACCTTGTTCCGGCTTCCTGTCCTAGGGCCCAAGAGATACATGCCAGGAGTGCAGTCCAAACGCATTTGGGCAACAGCAAGTTAAACCCAGCCCGAGCGGTTCCCTGTGCTCATGCTCTTGCACCGCAGCCCAAGCGTAGTGCCTGCGCCCTCCACAGAGTCTTCGTGGCCTACGGGCTTGTGGATGCAAGCCCCCGGTTTGGCCTCGCTTTCACTGACCCATCTTTCCAGGCGCTAGATGGAAACATGTCATCAAGCAACTCTTGGCCGACTGTGTCTTGGTTCCACTTGAAAAAGCATCCAAGCGTGATAGAAGCGAGCGGTTGCCAAACCTGTGAATGTTGCCAATCCCTGGGCAAAACACGTAAACAAGGCATTCACACGCAGCCCAACCAAGAAGTAACTGGGGCACGCTCAGTACACGACTTAGCAGGGTAGAGCTCCAAGCTCATTTTTCCGGCAATGTCAAATCAACCGGCCTGTGGTTATGCTCTGCCGCAGCCCAGCAAGCGCGGCGCCCTCATTCGAGTCTTTGTGGCCTACGAAGACGCGATCCGTTCGTGGCACGTAAGCATCGCAGCCCACAACTTGGGCCGTGCCACTTATCCCTAGGCCTACTGTCAAGCACCTCTGCCACTTATGATACTTATGCCTGCAGCACCATGACACAAGTTTCAAGCGACCAACAGCGACAAACAAACAACTGTGAGCTTGCGCATTGTGCCACACGTAGAGGACACCTGCGGTCCGGGAATGTGGCATTTCTTGTAACACGCCCAGATGAGTGGGTGTGTCCTTTTTTAGGGGACGCCATGTGCGTGTAACTCGTGATTTGCCTGAAAAACCCTCCCAAAACAGTACCCTCAAAAGGACACCACCAACACATTCAGTGGTGGCATGCTACAACATACAAGGGGTGCAGGCCAAGTTAAACCCAGTTGCCTGAGCGGTTGCCTGTGTTCATGCTCTTGCCCCGCAGCCCTAGCGGAGTGCCTGCGCCCTCCTTCACAGAGTCTTCGTGGCCTACGGGCTCGTGGATGCAAGCCTCTGGTTTGGCCTCGCCTTCACTGTGGCAATGCTAGATGGAAACATGTCGTCAAGCAACTCTTGGCCGCTTTCTGCTTGGGAAAGCATCCAAGCGTCTTAGAAGCGAGCAGTTGCCAAACCTGTGAATGTTGCCAATCCCTGGGCAACACACGTAAAGCAAGGCATTCAAACGCAGCCCCATGCTCAGTATACGGCTTACCGGGTCAGAGCTCCAAGCGAGTTATCCGGCAATGTCAAATCAACCGGCCTGTGGTTATGCTCTGCCGCAGCCCAGCAAGCGCGGCGCCCTCATTCGAGTCTTTGTGGCCTACGAAGACGCGATCCGTTCGTGGCACGTAAGCATCGCAGCCCACAACTTGGGCCGTGCCACTTATCCCTAGGCCTGCTCTCAAGCACCTCTGCCACTTATGATACTTATGCCTGCAGCACCATGACACAAGCTTCAAGCGACCAACAGCGACAGACAAACAACTGTGAGCTTGCGCATTGTGCCACACGTAGAGGACACCTGCGGTCCGGGAATGTGGCATTTCTTGTAACACGCCCAGATGAGTGGGTTTGTCCTTTTTTAGGGGACGCCATGTGCGTGTAACTCGTGATTTGCCTGAAAAACCCTCCCAAAATAGTACTCTCAACAGGACACCCCCTGGGTGCCGGAACAAAGCAATTCTGCCGTAGATGTCGCCTAACGAATTAGTGGTAAGCAAACATATCGACATCGTCCCAGCCGCCACCACCAACATCAACGAATCATTATCCCTCACATCATAGCACCACCACATTCAGTGGTGGCATGCTACAACATACCAAGGGGTGCAGTCCAAGTTAAACCCAGTTGCCTGAGCGGTTGCCTGTGTTCATGCTCTTGCCCCGCAGCCCTAGCGGAGTGCCTGCGCCCTCCTCCACAGAGTCTTCGTGGCCTACGGGCTCGTGGATGCAAGCCTCTGGTTTGGCCTCGCCTTCACTGTGGCAATGCTAGATGGAAACATGTCGTCAAGCAACTCTTGGCCGCTTTCTGCTTGGGAAAGCATCCAAGCGTCTTAGAAGCGAGCAGTTGCCAAACCTGTGAATGTTGCCAATCCCTGGGCAACACATGTAAAGCAAGGCATTCAAAGGCAGCCCCATGCTCAGTAGACGGCTTACCGGGTCAGAGCTCCAAGCGCGTTATCCGGCAATGTCAAATCAACCGGCCTGTGGTTATGCTCTGCCGCAGCCCAGCAAGCGCGGCGCCCTCATTCGAGTCTTTGTGGCCTACGAAGACGCGATCCGTTCGTGGCACGCAAGCATCGCAGCCCACAACTTGGGCCGTGCCACTTATCCCTAGGCCTACTGTCAAGCACCTCTGCCACTTATGATACTTATGCCTGCAGCACCATGACACAACTTTCAAGCGACCAACAGCGACAGACAAACAACTGTGAGCTTGCGCATTGTGCCACACCTCGCGGACACCTGCGGTCCGGGAATGTGGCATTTCTTGTAACACGCCCAGATGAGTGGGTGTGTCCTTGTTTAGGGCATGCCATGTGCGTGTCCCTCGTGATTTGCCTGAAAAACCCTCCCAAAACAGTACCCTCAAAAGGACACCCCCAGTTCTGCAACGCTCTGGGTGCCGGCACAAAGCAATTCTGCCGTGGATGTTGACTGCCCGCCTAACGAATTAGTTGTAAGCAAACATATCGACGATATCGACGTCGTCCCAACCGCCACCACCAACATCAACGAATCATTATCCCTCACATCATAGCACCACCACATTCAGTGGTGGCATGCTACAACATACCAAGGGGTGCAGTCCAAGTTAAGCTCAGTTGCCCGAGCGGTTCCCTGTGCTCATGCTCTTGCCCCGCAGCCCAAGCGGAGTGCCTGCGCCCTCCTCCACAGAGTCTTCGTGGCCTACGGGCGCGTGGATGCAAGCCTCTGGTTTGGCCTCGCCTTCACTGACGCAATGCTAGATGGAAACATGTCGTCAAGCAACTCTTGGCCGCTTTCTGCTTGGGAAAGCATCCAAGCGTCTTAGAAGCGAGCGGTTGCCAAACCTGTGAATGTTGCCAATCCCTGGCAACACATATAAAGCAAGGCATTCAAACGCAGCCCCATGCTCAGTATACGGCTTACCGGGGCAGAGCTCCAAGCGCGTTTTCCGGCAATGTCAAATCAACCGGCCTGTGGTTATGCTCTGCCGCAGCCCAGCAAGCGCGGCGCCCTCATTCGAGTCTTTGTGGCCTACGAAGACGCGATCCGTTCGTGGCACGTAAGCATCGCAGCCCACAACTTGGGCCGTGCCACTTATCCCTAGGCCTACTGTCAAGCACCTCTGCCACTTATGATACTTATGCCTGCAGCACCATGACACAAGTTTCAAGCGACCAACAGCGACAAACAAACAACTGTGAGCTTGCGCATTGTGCCACACGTAGAGGACACCTGCGGTCCGGGAATGTGGCATTTCTTGTAACACGCCCAGATGAGTGGGTGTGTCCTTTTTTAGGGGACGCCATGTGCGTGTAACTCGTGATTTGCCTGAAAAACCCTCCCAAAACAGTACCCTCAAAAGGACACCACCAACACATTCAGTGGTGGCATGCTACAACATACAAGGGGTGCAGGCCAAGTTAAACCCAGTTGCCTGAGCGGTTGCCTGTGTTCATGCTCTTGCCCCACAACCCTAGCGGAGTGCCTGCGCCCTCCTCCACAGAGTCTTCGTGACCTACGGGCGCGTGGATGCAAGCCTCTGGTTTGGCCTCGCCTTCACTGTCGCAATGCTAGATGGAAACATGTCGTCAAGCAACTCTTGGCCGCTTTCTGCTTGGGAAAGCATCCAAGCGTGTTAGAAGCGAGCGGTTGCCAAACCTGTGAATGTTGCCAATCCCTGGGCAACACACGTAAACAAGGCATTCACACGCAGCCCAACCAAGAAGTAACTGGGGCACGCTCAGTACACGACTTAGCAGGGTAGAGCTCCAAGCTCATTTTTCCGGCAATGTCAAATCAACCGGCCTGTGGTTATGCTCTGCCGCAGCCCAGCAAGCGCGGCGCCCTCATTCGAGTCTTTGTGGCCTACGAAGACGCGATCCGTTCGTGGCACGTAAGCATCGCAGCCCACAACTTGGGCCGCGCCACTTATCCCTAGGCCTACTGTCAAGCACCTCTGCCACTTATGATACTTATGCCTGCAGCACCATGACACAAGCTTCAAGCGACCAACAGCGACAAACAAACAACTGTGAGCTTGCGCATTGTGCCACACGTAGAGGACACCTGCGGTCCGGGAATGTGGAATTTCTTGTAACACGCCCAGATGAGTGGGTGTGTCCTTTTTTAGGGGACACCTTGTGCGTGTCCCTTGTGATTTCCCTGAAAAACCCTCCCAAAATAGTACTCTCAACAGGACACCCCCAGTTCTGCGACGCTCTGGGTGCCGGCACAAAGCAATTCTGCTGTGGATGTTGACTGCCCGCCTAACGAATTAGTTATAAGCAAATATATCGACGTCGTCCCAACCGCCACCACCAACATCAACGAATCATTATCCCTCACATCATAGCACCACCACATTCAGTGGTGGCATGGTACAACATACCAAGGGGTGCAGTCCAAGTTAAACCCAGTTGCCTGAGCGGTTGCCTGTGTTCATGCTCTTGCCCCGCAGCCCTAGCGGAGTGCCTGCGCCCTCCTCCACAGAGTCTTCGTGGCCTACGGGCTCGTGGATGCAAGCCTCTGGTTTGGCCTCGCCTTCACTGTCGCAATGCTAGATGGAAACATGTCGTCAAGCAACTCTTGGCCGCTTTCTGCTTGGGAAAGCATCCAAGCGTGTTAGAAGCGAGCAGTTGCCAAACCTATGAATGTTGCCAATCCCTGGGCAACACACATAAAGCAAGGCATTCAAACGCAGCCCAACCAAGGAGTAACTGGGGCACGCTCAGTATACGACTTGCCACGGCCCGTGTTCATGCTTTTTGCGACTCCAACCCCGGGAAGCGGCGTGCCTGCGCCCTTAGAGTCTTCGCGGCCTACAGGGACCAAGACGCGAGTGTGTTCGCGGCACTGTGGTTCCAAAGCGTCGCAGCCCACAACTTGGGGTATGCCACGAATCCCTAAGCCATGGCACAAGTTTCAAGCGCCCAACCGCGACACACTGACATACTGTGAGCTTCCGCATTGCGCCACATGTAGCGAGCACCTTCGATAATTAAGCAGCACCATGCGGGAACGTAGCATTCTTACATCAAAGCTCCAACGACAGTCCTAGTAAAAAAGTGCCAGCTTTGGGCTTGAAACTGCTCGCTTTACCGGACATGCTGCAGAGATAGCCCCGATCAAAAAGGCCCCACTCATGGCCCTCGCTCAAGATGACTGGGGGCAAACAATGACGGGGGGCAACCAGACCCTGGCGTCCTTCAAGGAAACATAAGCTTCCATTTGGTTGAGGCCAGGGGGAAAAATCCAGAAATATGTCCAGTAGTGATGAATTCCTTTCAAAACCAAGGGAAAATAACAATCTTAAGCAAATGGAGGTAAGAAAACCAAAAGGCCTCTCTCACCAAATTGCCGCTCCCCCGGTCTCCCGCACGGCCTTGCAGATCTTCGACTTCATCTGCGTTTTTGTGGCCTCGAGTCACACGGGGCAACAGCCCCAGAGCCGCAGAGTCTGGGCTTGGCCCCGCAGTCAGGCTGTATACATAGGTGTCCTTTTTGGAAAATAGATGGCCCTGGTAGATGATTGAACCACCAGGTAAACCAGGGCCTTCTATTTTTTAAGCAAACCAACCAAAAAGGACACCTATGGCTGTATACCATTCCGCTGCATCAAGAGCTTGGTGCCCGGCAATTCTTCGAGCGAGCACATGACAGCAAGCATTCCGCAATATCTTACCATTCGTTGAAGCTTGGTAGTGGCTCAGTTGACAACAATCCCCCGGTTGTTTGTCTCCAGCTTTTCCCCATCAAATCACGTGGTCGCATGAGTGGCTGTTTCTAGAAATTTACCCTCCCCGAGGCTAACATGGAAGCTCCCAAAACCCCTTTGGAAGACTTGGTTCCATTTAATTACAGTGGCCAATTGGGGGAGCTTCCGGCTGCTAGTTTGGAGGGTGTGTATTCACAAGAGCCTTGTTCAGTCCATAAGCTTCTATCCGCGAGAAGTTCCGACCCCTCGCGCCCACACTTTCAAGCCTGCGTCCAGCATGTCCTCAGCTTCTGCCTGACAATGGCAATCCTTGCCCTCAAACTCGCACGAACCTTAGAAACAATGGCAAACATATGGCCATGGGTCAAAAGCCCGCACCCCAGTGAACATCCAAATAGACTAAAATGGGTGGTGCACCTACCCCAAAATGGTACCATTGGTTTTGACCCAAAAATATGGTATATGGGTTGTCTCCAAAGGAGCCAACTTGAAAAACAATTTGTACCGCGGGTATTTCCCACCATCGAAAGACACGTTAGATTCCTTCTGGGAAAGCTCAGCACATGTTCATTGGAACCAATCACCGCATGTACATAAACGATCACAATAATACTGTCGCACTCACCTGGTGTGGCATTCGTCCTGAGTTGTTGACAAATATGTCCTTACTGATGACGCTGTGCTTGTCGCTGACGAGGCAACTGAACCGAGATCCATGCATCTAAAGGAGCCGACCCACACGAGAGTGATCCCCCTGACCGAGGCGGTGGAGTCAATGGACATTGATGAACTATCAGCTGGTTATATACGGACAATATGTTTGAATATGTATATATATATATATATCATAATACATGATACGTGTTTCTGTGTAACTAACAAAAAATGGGTATGTGCCAACGAGTCAACATAGGAGAAGCCTCACAATGGTGGTATTATTACCCCAACAAGGGTATCAGAACCACACTCCCCCATACAGTTGATACAGTTGGCTCGTGTAGGGCGTCCGGCTCGAAATCCATAGACTTTGCGCCTTTGCGCGCTTCAACTCCATAGACCATGCTTGATATGATCCCTTGGATCTGCACAAAATGGGACCACACTTCCCAGCTAACACAAGAAAGTAAACAAGCGAACAACCAACTTCAACAAAGCTGATTCTAAGCTGATGTTACAGGCCGGTCGCAAAGTAGCAGGTTTCCATTGCGTGAGTAGAGAGGAAAACCCGATCCGACCGAGAAATCCCGTGCCGGCATTTTTGAAAGTGTGCTTTGGGCTTTCCTGCTGTTTTCGCTTCAAACTCGCAACGACTGATCCAGTGTGCCGATGTTGTTCATGCTCAAAAGCTTTGGACGCGTTGGACAGGCCGCACGGATGGCTTGCCAGTTCCTGAAGTAAAATAAGAGGGATTGGCTGGAACAACCCCCTGCCATGCTCACACAAAGATGCGTGTGTGGCGGGAGTGTACCGTTTGGGGTTGGTTTCAAGGGAAGCCAACAGCAACCCTGTTGTGGATCCCACTTTAAACAGAAACAAATATCTCCCCATCCCGCAACCTTTTGCAATCTGCAGGCCTCCTCATTGCGAATAACTCGGGTCTTGATGTGCATGACGTACCTCAGACAGGAACATGTGGCTATCTGTCCATGTGTTTAGACATGTCAGTGGCTGGATGTTGGGATGATTGATCATAACATGGGTCGCATTGCAGCCCTCGATGAGGCGAGTTCCTTCTCGTGCTTCTTTGGTCTACCATTTCAACTCTTTCATGTCAAACGCAGCCAGGTCTCGACATGCGGAACCCCTTTCGCTGTTTGGTTGCTTTGCAGGGAAACCAATATGGAGTCCCGAACTCTGTAACAGCGCTTGAGACACTTCCTGCGACATTGGCCAGTGCCAATGGCAACTGCTGGACCCGTGCCTTGCCGCAAAATCTACGCAGATGCCGACACAATAACCCAAATAAGATTCTGGGGTCGATTCACAAGGAAGAAAGCTATGCGCAAATTCCGATACCTTCAATTAGTGGAGTTCTCAGGCAGCAGAAGCATAAAACAAACGCACTTGGATACTGGATAGAGCCTGACATCTAAACAGCAACATGAACTTAAAGTTTCGGACCCTGCGAGCTGTTGACCAGGCCTCCTTTCTTGGCATTTGCCAACCTGGAGGAGGGGCTTGCCACAAGAACCCGTTTAACGTAACTTTCTCGTAACCAACCGCAATACCATACAAACCTAAGGAAATGGGGCCCCTGGACAACGGTCGATAGTGACAATAGTGATAGATTCCCTTTAAAGCTAACACGGGAAATTTAAGCATACTCTGAAGCAAATGGAAGTTTCGCCCTCGCTGGCAAGCCAAGCTTCCGCAAACAAAGACTCGAGCAAAGCCCTGATTGAGGCTCCAAGGTACGCATGATCAGCTGATGGTATACTATGTGTTTGGATGATTTTGATTGGTTTTCGCTGTTGCCGCAAGCCAATTTGAAGATCGAGTTGCGGCCAAGCAGTTCCTTGTAACACATTGGCCCCAAGACAAACAATCGGCGTCGTTCGTCGTTTTTTTCTTGGGACCCCACGGCGGCAGCATGAAGCAAGGAAGCACCAGCGCCAAGAAGAGCTTTGGCACCAGGCCTCGCATTGGAGGTGGTCAGGTGCTCTTTTCAGGATTTCTGGAAATGTCTGGCAAAGAGCAGCTGATGCCTGATGCAATTTCAGCCAAATCGGTTTGACCAAATGCAGGGGTAAGGGAATCGGTTTGACCAAACACCCTGCATGGCTTTGAATAACTGCACTTCTATGCGGTTCACAGAATCTGGGATGCTTCTTTGAGGATTGGCCCTCAGCAGGCAACCTACTCGTACGAGTGGTTATTTGCACTAATGTTCCATGAACAGTACTGCCTTGGCTGTAAACATGGAAGCTTCAACACACCCATGGGTAAGGGAACTTCGTTTGTGAGCACCCTTTGGACGCATTCCATCTTGCTTTGAATATGTTCACTTGGCTGGTTGCTATGAGAGCCTAAATCATTAGAAGGGGGGGGGGGGTTCAGGAAAATTGAATCCAAATCAAGTCATCATACGGGAATACTGTTGGTAACTGTAAGTACGAGCCCTTTATAGTATGCCTTCATCCTGGAACCAAGCCCCTACAACAACTGATCTGTCTCGCTGCGTCCCCAGACACTCTGCGAGTGGTCGACCAGCTTCATCTACCCAAACTGCCCTACCACGTTTTCCAAGGAAGCCACACACACACACACAAAATAGTGTTATTGACAATTAGACAATCTCTAGTAACGCCTGACTCTAGAATCCATCCCGCCTATCAGACTTCTCTGTGAGGCATGAAGGGATGGAAGGAAAACCACACAGGTGAATGAGTTATCTGCTCACTGCATCTCTGTCTGTACCATCTGGAGTTCTCCTGCATGATCAATCAGGAAAAGGCCTCCTGCATGTGACTTGAAGATTAATTGCTGACTCCAGCCCGTGTCACATCTCACAGGTCGCCTCCTCATTTTGAAGGCTGCTAGCTGGACATGTATGCCATGGCAAGGCATTGGTACAGCTGCGCAAAGCTTCGCATCGCGGATAGTTTGGCTGTCTGCAACTTTCCCGTGTCACGCCCTTGAAAAACACC